CATGACCATCATCACAGTGTCCTCTTACACAGTGCTGTTCTAGGGTGGTTGTTCTTGAAAATAACTTCTATACTTCCTTAGCATCAGATTATTTTATATTCAGCCTTTAAAATTTTAAGGCTGGAAACAACTGAACATGTTAAATCCAATTATTTTATAGGTAAGGAAACAGGCCTGGAAACCTGATTTTTTTTTTAAGATTTATTTATTTATTTATACAAGAACAGGGGTACAGGCCAGATTCACAGGAGGGTGAGAGGATTCACCAGAGATAGAGCAGGGAACAGAACAGGCAGACTGATAAAATACACTGCTGAGGGGAGCAGCAGGTGAGACAGGAGAGGTCTGCCGCACCATGTGGGACCCTTGCCCCGGATAGAGCCGGCGCTGCAGATGATGTGGACAGCTTCACAGCGCTATGCTCAACCGCCTGCGCCACCAGGGGAGGCCCTGGAAACCTGATTTTTACTCTAAATATGTTTTCTTTAGTTTACTTCAACATGTGTCAGGCATAACGCTAAGCAGTAGAAATTCAAAGAAAAGACTAAATTTCTGCCCAAAGGAACACATAGTTCAATAGAGGGTAAAGACACTCAACTCAGTGAGGTCATCTCCACATGGTCTGGTGGAAGTTATGTTCAGAAAGCTAGCTAAAGTTAACTCATCTGTTCTGAGATGTCTCTTAGAAAAAGTGAAATATGCAGGATAACTGGTTAGGTGAAAGGGGCAACAGAGAAATTCTGAGACATAAAGAACTGGCAAAGCAGTGAGGAAAATATATATATATATATATTTTTTTTTTTGGAAAATAAAGTATGAGAAGAGTGAATACAAATGACAATGGGAAATAATAAGCAGGTGCATATAATGGAAAACTATATGCCATGCTAACCAAGTTGGGGTTTTAACTCTAATAGTGTTAAGAAGTCATGGATTACAAGGAAATGTTAAGATGAAATCTGTAAAAATCACTTAGGGTGCTACCAGAAGTGAGATACGAATAGGGGACAAGGAAAAAAGAAGGATGTATTTATTAAAGAGTTTTTAAAAATAAAGGCAGGATATGAGACTTTAAGTGATGGTAGGGCGAGAAGACAGATTTGATAAAGTTTGATAGGATTTGGTGAATTCTGTTTTTTTTTTTAGAATTTGAAGAACCAGTGGAATATTTTGGTGAAGGCAGTTAGCTATACAAATCTATATTTGAAATTCAGGGGCAGGTCAAAGATGAAGATATGTATTCGAGAGTTGTTGTTAGTTTAAACCACATGAATGAATGTGCTCTATTGGGAAAGTATGTAAGAAAGAAACAAGATGAAACCACATGGAACACAAACATTTAGCATGCCTTCTGTAAGAGAATCCATTGAAGTCAAGTAATTGTACTAAGCCAGTCATAGTAACATCAACAAGAGCAGTTGCAGAAAAATGATGGGAGTTGTAGGACTGCAATGGGTTGCAGTGAGGAGATAGAAAGAGAAAGTCCACTCTTTGAAGAGAGTTCAGAACTACCCAGAATAGCTTGTTTTTGTATTTTCTAAAGGACAGAAGATACTTGATAGGTTCACAAGAAAAGTGTAGAGAGGGTGGAAGTGAAAATACAGGACAGAGACCAGATAAACAAGGGAGCCATGTTTCAGAACACTGGTTCTGAGCTTTTCCACTTAGATGCTTCATAAACATCTCCAATACCCAAAAGTCTAAGAGTGCGCTCTGATCTTCCCCTGGAAACAAGTCTTTTCAACACTCTTTTCAGTTCAATAAATGGCACTACCATATAACCTGAGGCTTAAGTAACAAGTCTAGAGCTCCTCCATAACCTCTCCAATTTGTTCACCCCTTTCACGTAATCCATTGCCATTTCTAGCCTTCAACGCTTCTCAAAACATCAACTTCTATCTCCATCATTTAAAACACTGCCACCTTATCTGATCAAACAGATTCCTAACCAGTCTCACTGCATCAGCCTAACCTCTGTTCAATCCAGTCTTCAAAATCATCTTACTGTCCAAATCTGATCAAGTCACTCTGCTTAAAAATCCTTCAATGATTTTCTATCATCCATCTTTATAACACCTATATGAGCTCATCCCACGGCTAGCTCTCTGGTCACTCTCCTTTATTTCTCCACTCCAGCCAGTGCTGCTGGGGTTGTCTCTTAGCATATTTCCATTCCACCTTAGGGCTGTTAATTCCTCCTTATCCTTATAATCTAGTTTTACATATCATGACATGAGAGGTCTATGTTGTACTGTTATCTCCAGAATTACCTGTCTTTCTTTTTTAAGGCACTTTTCACAACTGTTAACACATTAATGCCATGTGCAATCACTTAATTCTGTCTTTCCACCAGACTAGTCTTCTGGGGGCTGCACAGAAGACATGTGTCTTGTTTTATGCTATATTCATGGCTGTGCTTGGACCACAGTAGACTCAATTTAATTTCTTGAATGAGAGGAATAAATGAAAACTAACTTTAACATTTCCTACTGAAACTAAGGAGAATAAAGTAAAGATGAGTAAAAACATAGCTAAGTTGAAAAGTTGTTATAGTGGCACTAAGATTAAGGAAGAAATGGACAGTTTAAAGAAATTCACATTTGTAGCCCCAATTTTTTTGCCATTTGGCAGTGTGCTAAGAAAAGGGTAATAGTATTTGAGTAAAGTATTTCCAAGGTTTAAACACACTACTTAAAGGAGTAGGGAGAGGAGAGAAAAACTTGACTAAAATTAGTAAAGGGCTATTTTGTGATAGCTGTGAGGGGACAACTTTACACAAAGGAGCAAAACACAATATAAAAATCTACTAATTCAAATGAATCAGAGAATGGATTTCTCTGTGCAAAGTTTAAATCCCACTGACTTTATTCTTTTAAGAATATAATAATGCCTGATTTAACTAACAAAACTTTGTCAACAGAATTTATTGAAGGGCCTCCCCAGTGGTGCAGCGGGTTGAGCTCAGCGCTGTGAAGCTGTCTTCAGCCTCTGCAGCACGGGTTCAATTCCCGGCCAGTCAGGGAAGTCCCACATGGCGTGGCAGCCCTCTCCTGTCGCATCCACTGCTCCCATCAGCAGTGTATTTCAGTCATCTGCCTATTCTGCTCCCCACTCTGTCTTTGGTGAATCCTCTCACCCTCCTACACATCTGGCCTGTATCCCAGCTCTTGTATAAAAATAAATCAATCTTAAAAAAAAAAATCTCAGCCAATATGCAATTATTCTCCAACCCCAGCATTGTATCAGAGCTGAAACAAATAGCTTTAAAAGTAAGCAGTATTGCTACTTAAAAGTGGTTAACAGTGGTTCCTTCCAGAAAATAATTCCAGGTTCATCTTCTCACTCCCCCTCCAGATGGTGCTACAGCTACAAGTGGAGAAGAGTTAATAGCCTGCACAAAGACAGCAGGCATCATCATCATCATCAAATGTAATAGTTTTATCTGCCTTATTTTTTGGTACTATGTTTCCCACACAGGCTCACATAATTCTATAATGCTTCCTGACTAGATAAGATTCTAGCACTATGTGGTAAATATGAAGATTCTTTGTAGGATGAGTAGGAATGGATTTAGAAAGAACTGAATAGAGAAAAGTTCTTCTCTTACACTTTCCTTTAAAGTGGATATCCATCCCCTTTCTTCTTTTAGGAAGTTGTACTGCCTCCTTGTACTGCCAAATGATACTTACACCCCCTAGGGCCCAGATCAACACTACCATTCTAGTTTTCCATTGCCTGTCAAGGAATGTCTATAGAGGCATTTGCCAAAAGTATGTTCCACTTGACTCAAGATTATCTGCATTTTTAAAAGGGCCCGTTTAATACAGAAAAATCCTACAATAAACTATTGAGTGTATACTGATCCTCAAAGGAAGGAGGATTTAATTTTCTTAATTTATTTTATTTTTTTAAAGATTTATTTATTTATTTATTTATTTATTTATTTATTTATTTATTTATTTATTTATAGAAGCACTGGGTACAGTCAGAAGCGCGGGAGGGTGAGAGAATTCACCAGAGCCAGAGCAGGGAACAGAACAGGCAGAATGACGAAATACACTGCTGAGGGGAGCAGCAGGCGTGGCAGGAGAGGTCTGCACGCCATGTGGGACACTCTCTGGTGGCTGGGGATCAAACTGGCGCTGTAGAGGCTGCGGACAGCTTTGCAGCCTGGCACTCAACCGCTGCGCCACCAGGGGAGGCCCGGAAGGAGGATATTTTTTTTTTTTTTTAAACTCTGGCATAGAAACAGACAAAAAGTTATGCTATAACTCCAAATTTATTTCACCTTTTGGAATGGCTGCCAACCTCCGGCTCTAACCCTCAAAACTGAGACCTGAATAGTCAATTTGCAGACCTTACTATATCTCAAATTCAACAGGACAAAAAGAGTCATCTAGCTATTCTCATCTCTGAATCCAGACTTTGAAGGGGCTTTAGAAATCATGTGGTGCAAACCTCTGTCACTGATGAGGAATATGGCTCAGATGTAGAATGACTTGTCCAAGGTCACATAACTGATTAATGGCAGAAATACTTCATTGTTATTTCTACCACCTCACTGACTCTTTTTACTTAGTTAATGTAGGGATCTATTTACCAGATAACCTTGCATATTTTTCCTTTTCCCTAAATAAAACATAATTCTCAGGAAATATTAGAAGCCAAATTTCCCTTCCCATTACCTAGAATTTCTTAAACATTTATTTACTTTATGAAGTTCTAGTAAAGTATTTGTTTTATGCACTGATTTTACAAAGATAATTCTGAGATCTAATAAATTATAGATTATAAAGTACAGGTATGGCAGAGATATTAAAACTACTCAAGTCATGATTTATTCTCACTCACAAAACAAGATTCATTTATTAGTGTTTTTAATCCTCTATGACAAGCTATAGTAATAAAACAAACCTTGAATTCCTTGAGTTAAGAAAATACTAGTCTAAGCTTTACAAAATAGTAAAGTTGCATAAATGAAGTAAGTTTATCATACGTACTTAAAGCTCTAGAATGGTCCGGATTCCTTATTCCCTTTGCTCGTAACCTCTGAAGAAGAACCGTTGAAGACAACTGTTTTACAAGATATACTGCCATGGAATAGTTCTGGGGGGGGGAAAGTAGAAAATAAACAACAGAATTTAATCCCACAGTAACAGGGAAAGAAAATTAATACTTGTTAAAACACCTATTGTGTGTCAAAACACCTACTATGTGTACTTTATGAGTTTTTGTAAACAGCACTTCCCTTAATCCTAACCAAAAAGCTGCTGAAGGTGATGATAAATCTACTTTTACAGATGAGGAAAGTAATTGTAGAGAAGTAAAAGAATGTGCCCTAATTTTGCAACTTTCAAGCAACAAAGCCAGATATATTGTGCTCCTATATGCCTGACTAACTATGCTTGAAGTCAATCAACTTAAGGCACTTATAATAAAGAAAACTGTTAAGATTAAATATAAACCAAAGTCAATAAGAGGTCATTCATCATAAATCACATTAGCAGGTAACAGATATATCTGCAACAGTAACTATTTAAAAAAATTACAAATGAGACTGGCTTCCTAATGCATAACATTTAATATCTGTTTATGCTTTTAACTAGTTCTTAAAAAGATCTTACATGGCCCACTGTCACAAGCAGCAACAGGAATATTAAGAGACTTTGAAAGACAAATTACTGGCTTGGCAAATAAACAGGTTAATATCTATTATCAGCAATGGGACTACCCAGAGATCAGAGTAGAAAGGAACAAAGAAAACAGTAGATAAGACAAGGCTGAGCATGAAGAGTACACAAGTGGCAAAGAGGAAGACAAGAGGGCTGAGGCCTATGAGAAGGAAGAAAGAAATCTGAAGGAGAAATTCACTTTCCTTTTGGTATTAGGTTAAAGAAGACTAGCAAGAGATTTGCCAAACAAACAAACAAACAAGAAAACAAGCAAACAAACAAAAAAAAACAAAAGAAATGTAATCACTACTACCTTCTCTCTTGTAACTAAGTTTTCAAAGTACTCTTACATATACTACCTACTTCGTTTAAACATCACAAGGCTTACAATGGATCTGTAGGATAACTGAGGCACAAACAAGAGATAATTTGCTCATAACCGTTTACTTGCTTAGTGACAGAACAGAAAAGAGCAGGACAATGGATTTGATGGCCAATGCCAGGATAGGTCTCTAAAGCTCTTGCTTTTACACATGGTTGCTTTGGATCTCTGTAGACCAATGTGCATTCCAACTTTCAGTTATTTTCACACTTTTGAAAATGCATTCCTCTCTTTGGCAACAAGATAAAATATCCTGTAATACCCTTCGGAAGGTCAAATTTTTACTTAAGAGGGCAGAAACCTATCCATGTTCAAAAAAAAATGAAGTGTCAAAAAAAGCACACTTAGATTCATTAATAATTTTCACAATTTATTAATAAGTAACCCTAAAAGTTTCTTATATGCTAACTCATACAACACACCAATTTAATATAAATATAAAAAGCTTCTTTTATGGAGGGAAAAAACCTTATTCACCTTTATTTACTTATTTGATTGCTTATAAACTCAAAAATGCTAATTAACAATGTTAAATTATGTACTGACAGCTTGAATCTTTAGAACTAGGAATTACCCTAAGGCTTCATATAAATTTTTAAGGAGAGATTAAGTAGAAACCACAATGGCAAATTCAGTGAAAAGGTATGTTCACTCTAGTTGAAACATGTAACCAAATAAGAAAAGACAAAACAAAACAGAAGCAGCAGCAAAAAGAATGTAAGATATTAACAAATACCACTTGCATGGGTAATATGGAATTACATTTTATAACACATGAAATTCAAGAACAAAATCCCTAAAACCTAACAGTGGCAAAGCAGCTCTTCCCACTTTCAAGTATTCCTTAATTCCAACTATATACACACACACACACAGACACAAATGGAGATATATATATACATATATTTATGTATTATTACACTGATGTATTTGTTAAGTGCTGTTTTGAAGGTCTTCAAAATTGTCTATAGAACATTCTTTTCATAATTAAAATATAACTACTCACTAAATGCCAGTATCTAAACAACTTCTTTACAAGGAGTGCATAATAAATGCTAAATGCAGTATTGAACCTGAGATAGGTTATAAGAAGCTACAATAAAGTTCCCTTTACTTATTCCCTTCAAGCACTGACTTAACACTTATTTTGGTATTATTTTTCTTTTAAAATTGAGCTATAATTGACATATAATAATGTGCAAGTTTAAGGTTGTACAAAGTGCTGATATGATACACATATACACTGCAGTATGATTAACCACACAGCTTTAGAATAGTTCTATTTATTTCTAAAGACATTTTTTTCCTATAGCTTCATCATATAGTTTTTATTTTTTATTTTTTTTAGTTACTAGCTTTATTTTTTTTAATTTAAATTTTATTTTTATATTCCCCATACAATTACAACCCCCTTATTTTGACCCCAAGCCCTTCTTTCCCCACCCCCTAGCCCCCATTGAGTGTCTCTGGTTCATAGTTGTTTGTTGATTTTGATATTTTCTTTCTTATAGTTATTCTTTTTCCTGGTCCCTTATTTAAGTTTTCTAGATTCCTGCTATGAGTGAGACTATCTGATATTTTTCTTTTTCTTTCTGGCTTATTTCGCTGAGCATGATCCCTTCCAGCTCCATCCATGTTGCTGCAAATTGCATGTGTTCATCTTTTTTGAATGCTGAGTAATATTCCATGGTGTATATGTACCACATCTTCATGATCCAGTCATCTATTTTTGGGCATTTGGGTTGTTTCCATAGCTTAGCTATTGTAAATAGTGCTGCTATAAACATAGGGGTGCAGGTGCTCTTTGGAATTGATGTTTCTGTGTCCTTTGGGTAAATACCTAGGAGTGGAATTGCTGGATCATATGGAAACTCTATGTTTAGTAGGTCAAGAAATCTCCATAACAGCTCTCCATAGTGGTTGGACCAGTTTGCACTTCCATCAACAGTGCAGGAGAGTTCCTTTTTCTCGACAACCTCGCCAACATTTGTTGTTGCTAGTTTTTTTAATATGTGCCATTCTCACTGGTGTAAGGTGGTGTCTCATTGTAGTTTTGATTTGCATTTCCCTGATTATAAGTGATGCTGAACATTTTTTTCATGTGCCTGTTGGCCATTTGCATTTCCTCTTTGGAGATGTTTCTTTTTAGCTCTTCTGCCCATTTTTTGACTGGGTTATTTACTTTGTTTTTGTTGAGTCTCATCAGCCCTTTGTAGATTTTTGTGACCATTCCTTTATCATCAGTGTTGTGTGCAAAAATTTTCTCCCTATCAGTGGGATGTCTCTTTGTTTTGGTTACTGTCTCCATAGTGGTTGTACAGAAGCTCTTTAATTTGATGTAGTCCCAGTTGTTTATCTTTGCCTTCACTATCACTGCTTTGGGTGATATGTCTGTAAAGATGTCTTTGAGGTGCATATTATGTAGTGTTTCGCCTGTATTTCCTTCTATGTATTTTATGGTTTCAGGTCTTATGTCTAGAGTGCTTTAATCCAGTTTGAGTTGGTTTCTGTGCATAGTGTTAGGTAGTAGTCAAGCTTCATTCTTTTGCATGTAGCGACCCAGTTTTCCCAGCACCATTTACTTAACAAACTTTCTTTGCTCCAATACATATTCTTTGCTCTTTTGTCAAAGATTAGTTGACCATAAATCTGTGGGTTTATTTCTGGATTTTCTTTCGATTCCATTGGTCTGCGTGTCCATTCTTGTTCCAATACCATGCAGTTTTGATGATTATGGCTTTGTAGTATAGTTTGAAGTCTGGGAGTGTGATGCCTCCATTCCCTTCTTTTTTTTTTCAGGAGAGCTTTGGATATTCAGTGTTTTTGGTGATTCCTTATGAATTTCATCAATAATTGTTCTATATCTTTGAAGAATGACATTGAAATTTTTATTGGAATAGCATTGAATCTGTATATTGCTTTTGGTAGGATGGCCATTTTAATAATGTTTATTCTTCCAATCCATGAGCAGGGGATGTCTTTCCATTTCTTTGTGTTTCTAAAGACATATTTTGAGTATTTCTCAATGGCACCTAATAATATAAATTAATCCCCCAAACATTAAGAGATACTACACAAACTATTCAACTTCTACTGAATTAAAAGCAGAGATCTAAAAACAATATAGTTGTTATCCTCTGGAATTTAGAAAATAATTTCCCTTCTCAAAACAAAGGTCACCAATTTATAGATTAGGGTCTACATAGAGATTTTATCTTGTATACCTTAAATCACTGAAGACACTGTCTTCTTTCTGGGGTTTAGCAGGCTTCCCATGGAACCTTCATATTTAGCCCCCACCCCAGGCTCCAGGCTATATATCAATTACATTTCACTTTTCTCCCGCAGTCTCGGAATTCTTTCATAATTCACTATTAACACCCCAGGTTTTAACCACACTTCTTGGGAGAGCTATACTTTACAAACACACACACACACGCACACACACAGCTATACTTCACACATACACACCCCCTAAAACATTTCAATATTCTCTCCAAAAAGGGAGACAAAAAAGGGAGACCCCAAGTTACATTAGAAGTGAAAACATTTAGGGCCTCCCTGGTGGCCTAGGGATTAAGTCTCAGTGCTACTACAATGGCCTGAGTTTGATCCCCAGCCAGGGAGCTAACTCACATGAAGCAGCAGACCTCTTCTGTCTCGCCTGCTGCTCCCCTCAGCATTGTGTTTCAGTAGATCCACCTGTTCTGCTCCCCACTCTGTTTCTGGTGAATCCTCTCACCCCTTGCCCCTTCCCAGGCACCTCTGGCCTAGACTCCAGTTCTTGTATGCATAAATAAATCAAATAAATCTTTAAAAAAAGTAAAACATTTTAAAAGATTTGAAAAAAACCATGGTGACATACTAATTAGGTAATATACTAAGTAGGTGACATATCAATTAGGTAATTGATAGATGTCAAAAAGCAATTCTGATAAAATTCAAAACTCATTTCAACAAAGATATCTAGTAAAAGGCGAATGTAGGAATAAGTTCTTGATGTAATTCCATAAAAAATTAGTGGCCATTACAAGACTTAATGTTGTGACCCTAGTGATATACTCATTAACATAAGAAGTCAAGCACATCCACTAGTACTGATATTATTTAACATTGTTCTGAAAAACACTGTTCTGAAGAGTCTAGCCAGCACAACAGAACAAAACAAAAAATTATAGCATAAGGATTAGGATTATCATTACTGTATAATGATACATCTTAAACTCAAAAGTGTCTACCCGAAAAACCAACTAAAAAGCTATTGGACTCAATATATGAATTTAGATATTAAATAAATATTAAAAATAATAAGCTTTTAAGTAAACCAATAATAAAGCTTTTAGAAAATGTAATAGAAAAAAGATCTATTTATAATAACAGTAATAACAAACACAAGAATTAAAAAATATCAAGAATTTATAAGAAAAATCTGTTAAAGATTTCAGGACAAAAGATTTGAATAGATGGAAAAATACACAGTTCCTGGAATAGGTATGTCAAATATTGTACTTCCTCACTTAATGTATTCATTTCACTCAGAGAAACATGTCTCACCCTCTGTAATTACTTTTCCAACATTTGTATTCTCTTCAATGTCTTTTTCTTACTCTCAGCAAACTTACCTCACATCTCGCTGCCTATATCACAGACCATAAGAGAAGTCATCAGATCAGAACAGTCACCTCTCTAGTAGCAAGCATACACTCACCCAATCCTTTTATTCTCCCATTAAAGAAGCTGTTCTAGCACCAAGAGTTAGTATGCAATCCACTATGATTATCCTTTCTTGTGTATTTAATCTCTTCCTCCCAAGAGTTCCCCAACTTCATCTTTTATACCTGTTAAAGACTCCCCCATTAAAACAAATAACTATCATTTCCCTCCAGTTCACCCTTACCTCTTTCTAAAGCCACATTTCTCTAATTCACTCTACTGCCTCACTTCCAAATGCTCACAATCTGGCTTCTCCTACCATGAAAACAGCTCTTGCTAAAGTCATCTTAATAATCCTAAAATCAACAGGATTTTTTTTTTTTTTTACTTTGTCATATTGTCAACATCTGTTCACTACTGCTTACCATCTCCTTTTTTCTTTTTTTGAAACTCTTTTCTTGGCTTTCTCACACCTACCTTCCATTCTGAAGTTGCCACCCTCTCTGGCACTACTTCCCCATGTCCTCTGCAGGCTCATTCTCTTCTACCCAGTACTAAATTTTGAGAGTTCCTCAAGAATAAGTATTAGGTACTTTCCTCTTCCTACGTGATACATCCCCTTTAAGCAAGATTGGTCTTGTTTGTGTGGCTTCAAAGACTATGTTATACAAGTAACTCAGATGTTTTTCTCTAGACCAAATTTACCTCAGAGCCTATATACCTCAATTGTGTATTCAGAATATCTCAAAGGTATCTGAAATCAAAAGCTTCAAATTGAACTCATGGTTTTCTCTATGAAACACACCTACATTCATTCCTTTCTTAGAGTTTCCTCTATCTCAGCAATATTATCATGTACCTTGTCACTCAAGCCAGAAACCAAGGGGTCATTCTTGACATCTCCCTCTCTCTTGACCTCTACTTCTAATCTCAGACCCACAGATCCACCTGCTAATCCTCACCAGATCATCCACCACTCTAGGCTAATGTACTATGTCTTTTCCACTAATATTTCTGTAGCAGTCTGCTCCTAAGAGGGAATCTCTCTACATAATCCTGCTCTCCATTCAAGCTATTTACCATTTGACTAGTAAACTTTCTGCTTAAAAAGAGAATACCCATAATATTAACATTGCCTCAAAGACCCTTTCTTACCTCTGTAGCCTCAGCCTGATCTTACAGATTGCTTTTCTGTTCTCTGTACTTCGACCACAGTGGCTCCCTGGAAAATTTTCATGAAAATAACCAGGCTCATCCCTGCCACTTGGCAGTTGTGTGTGTTGTTTCTTCTGAACCTTTCGCCTAACAGATTCCTTTTTCCCTTCTCTCAGCTCTTGCCTTGGCTACTATTTCCTCAGGGAAGACCTATTTGGCTTCTCTCTAGTTCAAAGTACTCCTTAATAAACTCTAAAATCACCATCTGTCTTTTATAATAGTTATTACAAGTTCACATTTTTTGTGTGTGAGCATCTGGCCCCTGGATCTCAGGATCCAAAACTGCAAGGACTCTCCTACTCCCATCACTGTTACTGCCAGTTTTCAGTATAATGCATGGCATAGAGTAATGAATTAGTGAAAAGATATGAACTCATATAATTAAAACTGCAATAATAAAAAACATAGAAAAGGAATGTTAGAGTAAGAAACAATATAAGAAAAGTTTAGAAACATAACCAGGATAAATAAAAATCAAACACATAGTAATGGTGCCTTCTGAATCAGCATTTATTTAGTTTAGTTAATGGTGACAGAACCACTAGCTGACTATTTTAAATGTGGAAGTTGGGGCCTCCCTGATGGCCAAGGGGTTAAGTCTCAGTACAATCACAACAGCATGAGTTCTAATCCCAACCAGGAAGCTAACCCACAAGGAGCAGCTGACCTCTCCTGCCTCACCTACTGCTCCCCTTAGCAGTGTATTTCAGTAGATCTGCCTGTTCTGATCCCCACTCTGTCTCTGGTGAATACTTTCACTGCCTGCCCCGCCCCCGACCTCTGGCCTGCACCCTAGTTCTACACAAAAATAAATAAGATCTTTAAAATTATTATAAGGGCCTCCCAGGTGGCACAAGGGGTTAAGCACAGCACTATGAAGCTATCCGAAGCCTTTGTCGCTAGTGAATCCTCTCAAGCCACTGCACCTCTGCCCTGTTATTGTATTCATAAATAAATCTTAAAAAAAAATAAAATAAAAGTGGAAGTACATTTTTACTTCACATATACAAATTTATGATAGGTTTATTTAAAGGTAAAATAAGAAATCTCAAAAGTCTAGTATAAAATATAAACAAATATTTATATAAGCATGGAAAGGGCAGAAAGATTTAGTGTGATAGTGACTGATGGGGAAATAACTGGTTAATATTTGGCTCCATTTTAATTTAAATCTACACATTAAATAATCACTTAAATAAAAGTAGAAGGCAAACAAATATTTGCAACACATGAAAGAGGGTTGTCTTACTAATGAACTCATAAATCAATAAAAATAAGAAAAACAGCAACAGAAGTGGATATGGATACAATTTGAAATGTAAATAACCACAAAATATATCAATGTCACTAATAAAAGGAGTGTTAATTAAAGCAGTGCAGTGCTGTTATTTACCTATTAGAATAAAGATATTAAAGAAGATAAAATTCAATGTTGACAGGTTATGGGCTAAACAGGTACATGAATAAACACTGAAAGTAGAGAAAAATAAATCTGTATATCTTTTGGAAATGTGCATAATCTGTTAATGGGCACAAAATTTTCTAAAATCTTGCATGCTCTTGACTCACAATTCTACTTCCAGGAATTTACCCTAAGAAAATTATCATGGGCATATGCAAAACTATAGCTACAAGGATGCTCTTCAAAAAGTAAAAATAAAAAAAAAAAAATACATAAGCCAAAAAAAACCAAAAAACAACTTAACTACTAATAGCTTGCTGTTGACTGGAAGCTTTACTGAGACCATAAATAGTTGATTAACCAAAAAAAAAAGTTCTTTGAAATAGTACTGAATCAACCAATCAGTAAATCAACTAAGTGCTCAACTATGAGCAATAGGCTAAACTATGGCATAGTTATACTGGGATGTAATGCAGTCATTTAAAACAAAGCAGACAAACATGTAATGATATAGGAAGATGCTTACAATAAATTGCTAAGTGAGAGGATCAGATTATAAAACATTGGATACCGCATGGTCCATTTTTTTTTTAATGGGAACATGTTGAAAATTTACTGAGATAAAAATAAATCGTTTTGCAACTCATTATACAATATCATTTACATAAAAATTCAGGTAGCCATGAAGATTTAACTTTTCTTTATAATACAAAAATCTCACAGAAACAAAACTTTACTTACTCTTCCAATTTCTGCAGTCCATGAAACAACAATGGTGTTTGGTACTGTGGTGGACAATCGGACAAGTGAGGTGATATTAATTGGTCGGCTAGGTCGCTTTGGTTCCACCCCATTTTTAGTAGGTGGAAGATAACCCTAAAAATGAAATACAATTCATTTCTACTTATTATTTCCATAATCATTTTAATTTCCATTCCTAAAAAAACCGCTATAAACTATGTACAAAAAAAAAAAGAATATTTTCATTAAAAAATAGAAGCACATATTTTTAAGAGTTTTTTGTATGTTCCACAGAAACACCCCTATATTTTCATTACAGTTAGCCTGAGAAAAATGCTGGTGACAGAACTTAAAAATCTCTAAAATTTAAGGATCAGAATGAGTTTATAAAACGCTTAAGAAGCAGATAAAGAATATTTTAAAAGTGACCTATAAAAGTTTCCACACTCACCCTCAGTTTAAGAGATAGCACTGTTCAAATCTCTATTTTGTAAGTTTTCAGATTCACATGAATAAAGTTGAGGTTTTGATGAAACAATTTCTTTCTTCTTCCCAAAATCCAGTATAACATAAAAACTACCACACCCAGGTTCAAGCCCTAAGACTTTGTCTCTATAGCTAATGTCACAGCTGTTAACTGCATGTAGTTGGTACAAGTGTTTCGCTCAGTCACACAAATATATATCCAAAATAAAAATGTTTTCTTAGTGAACAACTATGATTAACAACAGCTGTGGTGACTTATTTAATAGTTACGCTAGCAATGCATTTAAAAAAAATAGCTTTTAAGACTTACTGGAAGGCTGCAAGGTTTTGTATTCACTTTCACACAAAGATTGGGTGGGAAGTGGTCTTCTTGTGGACAACTGGTTTCTGATAAACAAAACCTAAACAACAAAGGACAAATTTAATTTCCTTTATTGAAGTAGGACCTCATTAATATTTTTGTTCAGCTATTCTAAAAGATGGTCAAATTTGAAAAAAAAAAAACTATTGAAAAAAAATACTATTCACTACACACAAGAGTTAACATTTACACAGGTTTAAAATAATTTTGTCAATATAGAATTTCAGTGATCATGTCTATCAATAAGTAGTTAGCTAACAAGTCCAATCATTTGTTTAGGCATGTTCTTTTTTTGGAGGGAGAGTTTAAGAAACTCTATATCAAAAAATTGAAGTAAGTTTCCTTTAAAATTTCTTATAAAAATTTTCAAAACTGTTAGTAAATTAACATCTATTTTAACGTTTTAGGAGGAAGCTATACTGTTCAGTATTTATGAAACTTGCTTGCTTATGAAACTTTTTTTTTTTGGATTCTCAGCAGAACATACGGAATATGTGTTCTAAGTCCAGTCCCAGTGCCAGACTCTGTCGATTAAGTTAAGGTACTCCATTATTTCCTAGGAGCTGAAGATGATGAATAATGATATTACTTCTATTATGTACTTAGAAATCTATTTTAAAAACTAATGAAAGCATTTATTTTTAAATGAAGTGCATAATCTTTGGGAAAACCAAGGATATCTATATAATTTGTAAATATTCATTCTATTTATTCTCATATTAGAAAAAGAAATTGTTTTTGGTATTTAAGACATCAATTTTTTTTTTTTTTTTAATAGAGGCATGTTTTATTTATTTATTTGTTTGTTTGTTTTTGTTTATACATGCACTGGGTACAGTCAGAAGCGCGGGAGGGTAAGAGAATTCACCAGAGCCAGAGCGGGGAGCAGAGCAGGCAGAAGGACCGAAGTACACTGCTGAGGGGAGCAGCGGGCGGCAGGAGAGGTCTGCGCGCCATGTGGGACCCTCCTCTGGTGGCCGGGGAGCAGCCGGGGATCGAACCGGCGCCGCAGAGGCCGCGGGCAGCCTCGCAACCCAGCGCTCAACCGCTGCGCCACTGGGGAGGCCCAAGACATCAATTTTTAATGACTCTTTTATTCACATTATATATCTGAAGCTTATGCCACTTTTACAAATGTTCAAAGACCTCTGAATTACATGGTAAGAAGAACCCTATTGCTGAATTCTGCGAAACATTCATCATGTACACATATCTTCCCTCAACACCTGTAGTATAGGGTTTTGCCTTGAGAGTTTTGAAATCTGCGTGCAGTGGGTCAACAATATGAAGTTTTCTATATAAAATATTCACCTTTATCAGAAGACAATCTATAGCTCCCATCAGATTCTCAAAGGAAAATACACTTAGCAAACAGATGTCTGAGCTCACAGGATCATCTCTAACCCCAGCAGTACTTTTTAGTACAGACCAGTCTTTTACAGTGAAACAGTAAGAGGATGCCATAAAGTTTTTAATGAATGATTGCAAAGCAGTGATAAATTTAAGACATGGACTCAGGCTGCCTGAAGCTAGGGGAAAAGAATAATTGACATGCCAAGTTGAAATTCCAAACCACCCTAACAAACCAAAGGGAAAAAAGGGAAGAAGAACAGAAAAGTTTCTGCGAAGGAGTTCATGAGGCAAAAAGGGGAAACAGGTACATAAATGAAACAGTCTAGGAATCACAGAAAACACTGACTAATTCTGATCAAATTATCTCCATGCTTTAGATGAGGATTTATCTCTCCTTGTCCCAAAAACCGAAAAGGAGGAACCTCTTCCAAATTTATTTTATGAAGCTAGCATTACAGAGACACCAAAACCAGACAAGATTTATAATTAGGATGGTAGACAGGTATACAACCCCACCTCACATAATGCACTGAAACTGTGGCTCTAGCTTTGTATTAAAAAACAGAGGGCTATCCAACAATTATCAAGTTTAATTCAAAATTGTTTTTTTAAAAATCAAGTACTAAAGAAATTTTAATTAAAAGTGGAGAAATCATTTTTAACCATCAAGATTCCTTGGAATTGCTGAATAACTTTCGTTGGAATGTAAACTATACTCATTGCTGCTTTAAAGACTGCATGCTCAAAAGGATAGTGGCTAGAGTTTTTGTTCTAGAGCTATGCTTTACAAATGTTATTTTAGTCCTGCGACACTTTTTTTAAAGATTTATTTGTTTGTTTATTTTTTTACAAGCACTGGGTACAGTCAGAAGCGTGGGAGGGTAAGAGAATTCACCAGAGCCAGAGCGGGGAGCAAAGCAGGCAGAAGGACCGAAGTACACTGCTGACAGGAGCAGCGGGTGGCAGGAGAGGTCTGCATGCCATGTGGGACCCTCCTCTGGTGGCCGGGGAGCAGCCAGGGATCGAACCGGCGCTGCAGAGGCTGTGGGCAGCTTCGCAACCCAGCGCTCAACCACTGCACCACTCCTGGGACTCTTTTCAAGTGAAAACTAACCCAGAAGTCAAACATGCAAAATAGGTCAAAGCAGCACTACTTTGGTTCAGAGTGTGTTTACTGTGGGAGGAGGGGAGTAGGGAATGAATGGTACTCTAGTGGGCCTCCTAAGTGTGACTCTGAACAACAGTTTAAAAATCAAGGTTTTAAAGTAAATGTCACATCAGTATGTACAAAATGTGAATTGTTAAAGCAAGAAATAAAATACATTACAACAATATGCAATTATGAAGGTATCATTTTCATTCTTTAATTAATTCAGTCATCATAGTCTGCCCCTGGCAGAGCTGATAAAGTACCTTTTACACAAGAACATTTTTGTCAGTGACTTCCAAAATCAAGACCTTAACCTTGCCTATGCTTTCTCACTGTTCTCATCGTGCTGTTTTAAAGCCTAGATCAGAGGTTTTCACATTGTTCTGTGAAGAACTGAGCAGGTACTTTAATCTCTTTTCTGACCTCCTAACTTGTACATAAAACCTAGAATCTGCTGAGGCTGGGATCTCTGTTGACTTACCCTTCCCACAATATAGGAAAACAGCTCATTATGGAAAATAACTACCTTGTATTTCCCTTTCTATCCCTATTGTAACAAGAAGAGTGTGGGGCACATAAGTTCACATATGGATAGTCACTAAGTAAAATGCAACATAAGATGGTTTATATGAGCAAGACAGAGAGACATTAACATAAAAGACTTTTTAGGTGATTTTAAAGTTAAATAAGGTGCAGTTGTGAAACTATTTTGGAAAATTTTCCATTCATCTTTGCAAAGAGATGTCTCAACTGGAATCTAAATTTGGGAGTATTGGGCCTCCCCGGTGGCGCAGCGGTTGAGCGCTGGGTTGCGAAGCTGCCCACGGCCTCTGCGGCGCCGGTTCGATCCCCAGTTGCTCCCCGGCCACCGGAGGAGGGTCCCACATGGCGCGCAGACCTCTCCTGCCGCCCGCTGCTCCCCTCAGCAGTGTACTTCGGTCCTTCTGCCTGCTCTGCATCCCGCTCTGGCTCTGGTGAATTCTCTCACCCTCCCGCGCTTCTGACTGTACCCAGTGCATGTATAAACACACACACACAAAAAAAACAAACAAACAAGCAAACAAATAAATAAATATATGCCACTTTAAAAAAAAAATAAAAAAAATAAATTTGGGAGTATTTACATAAATGATTTAAAATATAGGACAAAACAAAATGTTTTGATTCTTGTTAGTTCATTTGGTACTATAGGCTTAACCTAAATGTTAGTTCCTTTTCTATAGTAGTTTGTCACTCATGCAGATAATGCCTTTGCTTTCATGAAACTTGGTATTTCTAAAAGCCTAACCACTATGATATTTAAAACATGTCATTAGCTGGCGTTACTCAACCAACTGAGGAGAATCAAAATGGAGAAATATGGTTAGGTATATGGCACACAACTTACTATATTAAAATCTAAACTCGATAAAGTTTGAATATTTCATAAAAGAAGGTTTCCCTCACCCAATATTTTCTATACACTTACTGAACATTATTTTTTTTAATTTTTAAGGAACATCAGCTTTAAAAATTTGAATATATGCTGTGTCAACACTGTACCTTAACTGGACCTGAACTGTGAAGTCACATTTGGTCCCAGATATATCCCTAGAAAAGACAAGAGTAAAAAATATATTTTAAAAATATGCACATGAAATTTGATTCAAAGACACTGTTACTCCAGAAAGCTTTTCACACTACAGAGATACAACTGTTTTTAGGGTAACTTAACTCACTATAATATTACTTTCAATACTAATACTTCTATGACACTAAAACCCAATTACATTGTTTTTAAAAATCACTTACTACAGAGACCAAACAGCAAGTTACACTTGAAGACAACTTACATGGAACTACTGATTTGCTGTACTTGTTGTGGGGTCAATGCAAATGCAAAACAGGTTTCTCGAAAGCGCTGACTGTTGTCTGATGCTAGGGAAGAGAAGGATTATAGGTTTAATTATCTTCAAATTCATCAATAAAGTACATGATAGTCAAAAAGAAGAACAGGTCACTTATGTGCCTTTAAGATATATTTTAGAGTTTAGATAGCAAGGCAACTAAAGCATTGAAAAATAAGAAATAAGCACAGAACGGCTAACTACAAATGATAAAATCAGGGTTCAAATTCTGAAAAAATATAATCAAAGAAATACTAAAAAATTCCATCATACAAATATTTGCATCTGAAAACTTGTATAAAACTATGCTATTAATTTTACTTAAGATAGAATAATATAAATCAACAAACAACTATAAACCAGAGACACACTATGGGGGGGGGCGGGGAAAGGAGGGATTGGGGAAAAAACAAGGGGGAATACAATTGTATGGGGAATATAAAAATTTTAAAAATTTTAAAAAAGAATAATATGAACCCATTTAAAGATATACCATTTCTGAGCTAAGTAACAAACATAACACACCTTGAGCTCTATATGGTTGAAATGAAATGTGGTGTTTAAGGCAAATTAAGACTTTTATCAACTCCCCTCTAACCATTCCACGTAAGTTTTATACAATAAAAATAATTTTTATACAATAAGTTTTCCTATACTTAGATGATTTTTAATCTTTGCCTGTGTCACAACCTCAAAGGAAAAGATTTGAAAGAAGGCAGGGAAGGAAGGGAGGGAAGAAAGAGAAAAAGAGTAAGAAAGTAAGCAAGCAAAGGTCAATATAAACAGGAATTACTAAGGCAAGCTGTTGTAAGCAACAACAGTTCTATTAGGGGCTCCCTGGTGGTACAAGGGGGTTAAACACCACTCTATGAAACAATCCACAGCCTCTGCAGCACGAGTTTGATCCCCGGCCAGGGAAGAACCCACATGGCGAAGCAGACTTCTCCTGTCTCACCCGCTGCTCCCCTCAGCAGTGTATTTCAGTCAGTCTGCCTATTCTGTTCCCCACTCTGTCTCCAGTGAATCCTCTCACCTCCCCTCATCTCTGGCCTGCACCCTAGCTCTTGTATGCATAAATAAATAAATATTTAAAAAAAAAATAGTTCTATTAGCTATAATATATGTTATATATATTTAAAGAAATCAGTGGTCAATATTCCTTCCTCTTGTTCACTAATGTTTCCTCAGTCCTCAGTAAAAACAAACACTGAATGAACAGAAGAACCTAAACTAAGAAATACCAGATTAAACTACTTAAACTGTACATTTCCAGGGAAATTTTCTAGAATAGGATCACTAAAAGTTAGGACCAAGGAACTCCTGGTCTGTGGGCCATGAATCCTGTGCAAAAAAAGTAACTAAACTTGGCCAGCTCTTGCTTAAACTGGGTGTGTACCTCCTTGCAAGTAACACTTCCTCTACAACTATCACCAAGCTCCAGGATGTCATGATGAAAAAAATCTGTACAAATATACCACTCTGAGGAAAAAAAATGGAAAAGAGCATAGTTGATCTATAATTTCATCCCAATTCAGGAGAGTCTTTTAAAGGTTAGGTTTGTGTTTCTGTTTTCCATGATGGGGGAGGATTTTTTTCTTAAAGAATCTATCCCCAGGCCTCCCCTGGTGGCGTAGCAGTTAAGCGCTGGGCTGCAAAGCTGCCCGCAGCCTCTGCAGCACAGGTTCGATCCCCGGCCACTGATGAGGGTCCCACATGGCGCAACAGACCTCTCCTGCCATACCCACTGCTCCTCTCAGCAGTGTATTTCGTCACTCTGCCTGTTCTGTTCCCTGCTCTGGCTCTGGTGAATTCTCTCACCCTCCCATGCTTCTGACTGTACCCAGTGCTTGTATGAATAAATAAATAAATCTTAAAAAAAAAAAAAAAAAAAGGAAGAAGAAATCCCCAGGAAATAATTACTTGCCAGAAAAAGTTATCTTAATTCAAAGTATCAACCTGGCAAATGGCTGATAACCAAGGGCCAGAATATAGGGAACCAGAGCACTTCCTCTATCAGGCAACACAAGTAACTACTTTGCTTCTTAGAGAATATACCTCTATAAAGATTTTAAGTCCATTTGGCTTACTCTAATTTAGATTTCTGATTCTGTTCTAAAATAGTGCTAACATAATTTCCCAAGAACAAAAATGCTATTACTCTCTAGGCAAAATTTCAGATTTATTTTAGAATATATGAGTACAGTATGTTTTGGGAACACACACACACAGATTTAGATAGAGAAGATATTACTAAAATAATGAGGCTGTTTCTTGTACCACACAAGAAACAATATTTAACAATAACTCTATTTCTATCGTCTTTTAGGTATAGATTGCAATGTGCATGGGTTATTACCATTTATCTAAAAAAATGCATTTCATATTTGTGGTTTTTAGGGTTAATTTCTACTATGAATGCCAAAGAAGAATTTATAGTTTTGGTCTTAGATCTAACATGCTATCTAAAACTTTTCTGAAAGTGAATCAGGCTATTAACACTTTCAGAAAAATTCAGGTTAAAGAGAATCTCAGAATCTTCATACTGAAAATGGAGCCTTAAACCACAAAAAAAAAAACCCCTCCTATGTTGAGGGTATGTGTGTGAGTGGGCACACAAGATAATCCACTGGAATACAGGGAAAAATATCCACCTACTTGTAAAAGTGAAGTTTTTTTTTAAAAGTTGAGACTTAAGGTCTCCCCAGTGGCTCAGCGGTTGAGCGCTGGGTTGTGAAGTTGCTGCAGCCTCTGCAGCACCGGTTCAATCCCCAGCTGCTCCCCGGTCACTGGAGGAGGGTCCCACATGGCGCGCAGACCTCTCCTGCCACACCCGCTGCTCCCCTCAGCAGTGTACTTCGGTCCTTCTGCCTGCTCTGCTCCTCGCTCTGGCTCTGGTGAATTCTCTCACCCTCCCGCGCTTCTGACTGTACCCAGTGCTTGTAAAAATAAATAAACAAATAAATAAATCTTAGAAAAAAAAAAAAATAAAAGTTGAGACTTTATACAAATACTAAAATCTAATTTAGAAAACAAAATCTATACTTTATATAAAATCTTAGCTTTTTAACTTCTATTTTTGTATTTTATACCATATACACTATTTGGTTTATTAAATACAAGAGATGTAAACACAGTAATTCAATTATTATGCATGTGATCGCATAAGCTTGTAGACCATTAATACAGAGTCCAATCTTTAATTCTTCCATTCATTTTTTGCTTGAATCCTTTTAGAGATGAGGGATGAGTTTATCAGGTAGAAGATGACCAGGCATCATTTAATTCTAAGGAAGTTCGAAGCCCTATAGAGAGTAGGAAAGCTTGGTGGAAAAGATGAGATCACATAGATCTGGATTCCACACTGGTTTTGCCACTTGCCATGTGACCTGAGGTACTCATCTGCTCTGAGTCTCCATTCCTCCAATACTGAAACATAAACACACACAGACACAAAAATGCTCATAGGTTTATTTCAAAGAATACAAATGAGGTAAGGTATTTAAAACAACCACAATTTTCTTTTCTGTCCCCTGTCCTCTTTATGACCTTATATTGGATCAAAATATTTGTTGCTGTAACCTCCACTCATTGATGTCATACAGCCACATCCAGTGACTGTCATTCTTCAAGTATTTTAGGCAGCACTGATATATACCTTTGCCATCAAATCTCTTCTAACTGTATTTTGGATGAGATTTCAGAATTAACAGTAGTCTCCCCTTTCCTGCAGTTTAGATTTCTAAGTGCTCAGTTACCCTTGAACTCTTGATCAACCACAGTCCAAAAATATTGTGTATGATAAGATATTGACCGACAGAACAAGTGCACATCCACATTAACAGTAAATTGTTACTGTTCTAGTACTAGTTATTATTGCTAATGTGATATTGTGCCTATTTGGCTGCACATCTGTAGTGGCCCAACCCTAAGGGAGGAGGATTGATTGTATCTCCAATGCCACTGACATCAGCCTTGACCAATGAAATCTGAGTGGAAGTATACCACATTCAAGAATTATCCTCTGGTTTCACAACCTTCTTTCCAATCGACCTTGATTCTAGAGTGAAGAGAAATAGTAGAGCCAATCTGCAGGTAATAAACCACACAAGCAAGAAATAAATCTCAGCTGTTGGTCACTAAGATTGATGGTCATTGTAAAAGCTGATGGATATATTTTCCTAGATGTGATGTGATTAGAATAGTAATTTTATCAAAAACTACCACCATGGGCCTCCCCGGTGGCGCAGCGGTTGAGCGCTGGGTTGCGAAGCTGCCCGCAGCCTCTGCGGCGCCGGTTCGATCCCCGGCTGCTCCCCGGCCCCGGAGGAGGATCCCACATGGTGCGCAGACCTCTCCTGCCACCCGCTGCTCCCCTCAGCAGTGTGCTTCGGTCCTTCTGCCTGTTCTGCTCCCCGCTCTGGCTCTGGTGAATTCTCTCACCCTCCCGCGCTTCTGACTGTGCCCAGTGCATGTATAAACAAAACAAACAAACAAATATAATAAATAAATAAATAAAAACATGCCTCTATATAAAAAAAAAAAAAAAAAACTACCACCATCTACTATTGCTATTCCATACAACAATCACAAAGAAAAGTCAACTCCTTTTTCAGATTTAGGAATTGAGGTTGAAACTATCAATGGTTCACATAAGTGAGTAGAACCAGAACTGGAACCTCAGACCTACAAGCCTGCAAAATCCCTGTTCTTCTCAAGATCTAGGGCTATTAGATTCCCTGAGCTAGGTGCCATACTTCTATTATTGTAGCCCAGCATTATAATGGATCACAGAAAATAGGAATATTATCCTCTCATAACATACAACGGAATACAATGAGAACCCAGAAATAAACACTCACATCTATGTATGGTCATTGATTTTCAACAAGCATGCTAATAAGACCATTCAATGGGAAATAAGAGCCTCTTCAATAAAGGTGCTAAGATAAGTAGGTATATATAGGTAAAGAATAAAATTAGACCCCTATACAAAAATTAACTCAGACTAAAATTTTTTTTAAAGATTTATTTATTTTTATTTATACAAGCACTGGGTACAGTCAGAAGCGCGGGAGGGTGAGAGAATTCACCAGAGCTAGAGCAGGGAGCAGAGCAGGCAGAAGGACCAAAGTACACTGCTGAGGGGAGCAGCGGGCGGCAGGAGAGATCTGCGCGCCATGTGGGACCCTCCTCGGTGGCCGGGGAGCAGCCAGGGATTGAACCGGTGCTGCAGAGGCCACGGGCAGCTTCGCAACCCAGCACTCAACTGCTGCGCCACCAGGGAGGCCCAACTCAGACTAAATTTAAGAAATAAAATATAAATTCTTAGGAAAAACCAATCTGCATGACCTTAAATTTGGCAGTGGTTTCTTAAATATGACACACAAGCAGGGACCTAAGAAAAAATAAATTGGACTTCATTAAATTTATTAACGTTTGTGCATCAAAGGACACTAAAAAGAGAATGAAAAGACAACCCACAGAATGGGAAAAAATATTTGCAATTGTATCTAATTGTTTAATATGTAGACTATATAAAGAAAACAATAACAAAAAGACAAACGACCCATTAAAAATAGCCAAAGTACTTGAATAAATTTCTCTCTAAAGAATTTATATAAAAGGTCAATAAGCAGATGAAAAAGTACTCATAGTCATTTGTGATTATGGAAATGCAAATCAAAATCACATAACACATGCACAAAATCAGATACCATTTACTTCACAAAACTAGGATGGCTATAATTTTAAAACAAACAAGAAAACAGAAAATAGTAAGAGCTATGAGAAGATATTGTGAAAGTGAAACCCCTTGTATTTGCTGGTGGGAATATTTAAATAGTGCAGGTGTTATAGAAACCAGGTTTGTGACTCTCCAAGAAAGGTTAATCATAGAATTATAAGACCTAGTAATTTTACACCTAGATTTAAAGGAAATTGAAAGCAGAGATTCAGATACCTGTATGTCAATGTTCATAGCAGTTTTACTCACAATAACTAAAAGGTGAAAGAAATCCAATGTCTATCAACTGATGACTAGATAAACAAAATGGGGTATATCCACTCAATGGAATGTATTATTCAGTCATAAGAAGGAATGACATTCTTATATGTGCCACACAATGGATGAGCCCTGAAAACGTTACTTACGTGAAATAAGACACACAAATGGGCAAATACATGATTCCATTTACTTGAAATATCTAGAAAAAGTAAATTCACAGAGACACAGGGTACGAGGAGCTGGGGGAAGGAAGAATGGGGAGTTATTGCTCAAGGGATACAAAGTTACTGTCTGGATAAGGTAAAAATTTTTGGAAATATTGGTTGGTAATGGTTGCACAACACTGTAGTCAGGTAAAGATTTCTTAAACGACAATACCAAAAGCACAATCCATGTTTTAAAATGATGAACTTATACTTTTAGAAAGACAATGTTAAAAGAATGAAAAGAGAAGCCACAAACTGGTAGAAAAAAACTTATAAATCATACACCAATTAAAGGACCTGTCATCAAAATATAGAAAGAACCTTTACAAGTCACTGTCAAGGAAGCAACAACCTAACAAAATTTAAAATGAACAAAAAATCAGAAAGATACCTTACAAAGGATGATATATGAATGGCCAAAGAACCACATTTAAAGAGGCTCAACACCTTTAGTCGGTGGGAAATGGATTCTAAGGTCACAATGAGACATAGACATATTAGAATGTCTAAAATATTTTAAATGACAATACCAAGTGCTGACAAGGATGCAGAGTAACTGGAAAGCTCACACACTGCTGATGGGATGGTAAAATGGCCCAACATTTTCCAAAACAGTATGGCAATTGCTTAAAAAGCTAAATCTGTAATGATCTCATGAACAATCTTGAGTAAAAGAAGTCAAATCACCCTTCCCCCCAGAATATTATATATTCTATGAGTCCATATGTCAACTTTTAGAAAATGTAAACTAATCCACAGTAATAGACAAGTACATTCAATCTATAGGGACTGCATAAGAATGGGAGGAATTACTAGTAAGATGAAACTTTAGGGAGCGACTGCTATGTTCTTATTTTGATTATAATGATGATTTCACATATTATGAAATTGTACACTTTAAATATGTACAGTTTATGGTATGTCAAGGACATTTTGATAGTGTTGCTTTAAAAAATACTGACTAAAGCAAAATAGCAAGAACATTTAGGAAAAGATGGAGGGGAGAGGGGATGAACAACAGAATTCTAGGGAATTGATACCAACATTTATGACTCAAGAAGAATGAGCCAGAAATTCAGAAGGGAAAACAGGGGGATATGGTGTCCTTGATAGCAAGGGGAGAAAGGATTTCAAAGCAAGAAGTGTTAAATATAAGTTTAACATTGTTATGACAATGCTATATGCTTGTTAAATATTTTTTTTTTTAAGATTTATTTATTTATTTATGTATACAAGCACTGGGTATAGTCAAAAGCGCGGGAGGGTGAGAGAATTCACCAGAGCCAGAGCAGGGAGCAAAGCAGGCAGAAGGACCGAAGTACACTGCTAAGGGTAGCAGCGGGTGGCAGGAGAGGTCTGCGCGCCATGGGGGACCCTCCTCTGGTGGCCGGGGAGCAGCTGGGGATCAAACTGGCGCTGCAGAGGCTGCGGGCAGCTTTGCAACCCAGCACTCAACCGCTGTGCCACCGGGGCGGCCCATATGCTTGTTAAATATTATAGACAATGCTAAATGCTTGGAGGTCAGTTAAGATTAGAAATGGGAACAGAATTTAACAACTAGCAAATCATAGGTGATCCTGACTGTTTCAGAGAAATGGTATGAACAAAAGCCAGGCTGCAACAGGTGTTTGTTTAATCATTGATTTTAACACTTAAATATGAAATCTCTTTTTACCTAGGACAGAAAAACTAATGTCTCAGATTTGTGAATCAGTTACCATACTGTTTTTAATCATTGTAAACAATCCAGAAGGTCTCCAAAGTTCTATAAGGTACAATAATTTGAAATTTTGTTACAATAGGAGTTTGATTGTTTTGGAGCTATGAGATGACTGTTGCTCAGGCAGTGTGACCCTAATTGTTGTATACCTGACAGTAACTCTCACAGAAGGTAAAAGCAAAAGAAACTCAGAATTTCACCTACCCTCCACTTTAGGGAAAAAAGTGCAACATTTTAGTGGTGTTCATAACTAAGGATGCTTACAAAGCTCATGAGATACCACTTGTGATTATTTAGGGTTTATTGTATTAATGGGAGAAGATTTTTAGCAATCATTCCCCATAAGTTTTAATTACTAATGTCTCATCTGTAAGAAATGACCACAATAACCGATATAATTCAAAATACCAAAAATGTATACAAAGTAAGGTATTAGGAATTTCATCTTTTTTAAAAATCATACTTTTTCAGAAATGTGAAGGAGACCAAAAAAACA